AAAAGCAATTGGTGCATTTGTGAATCAAAAAGGCATGTCATTATATTTGAATATCCATACCTAATTCAAAAAAAAGTCTTCTATTCATCTCTTTTTTTAATGCAGACCAAGTTGTATGTTCTTCATAAATCTATTTTTTTTACAAATCTTTGCTTCATTGAGTTGGTCAAAAAGTCATGAAATTAGAAGTAAAGAATACCTATTCTTGATGATAATTTTATTAAGTCCTTGGTAGTCAATGTACATTCATAGAGATTCATATTTTTTCTTTATAAATAAAATACAATCTCTTGTTAGATATTTTGAATGGCATATGAAATTCTTGATTAAATTTTCGTCAATGTATTCTTTTAATGCAGCCAATTCATTCTAAGATAAGTAATAGATTGGTCCAAATAATGGTTGAACTCCTTCTTGAAGATCAATTAAACAATCATAAGACCGATGCTATGAAAGAATATTTGCATTCTTCTTTTCAAAAACATCTTAAAAATCTTGATATTGATTAGAGATACCACTTGATATCTTTCTTCTACTAGAAATGAACGTGGCATATATAGCAAAAGAAGACTATTTTTTTTATGCATGCATAAAAGCTCTTGTATCTACTACTAGAGATTTGGATGTATTAAACTTATGTATTTCTACTTGACTAATAGAATTTTAGATTAAAGTATAAGAAAAGTCAAGATTATAAGAAATTCAATTTATCTAAGAATTATATTTTTTTAATTATGATAATTCTAAAATAATTGGGTTAAAAAAAGATCTTATTATATTAAATATTATTACACCATTATGATCTTTAATTGTTATATCTAATAAAATAATCTCATAAATAACATCTCCAAAAAATAACAAGTGACTATTTATGGCTTCTATGTGTACGGATTTATCTTTCTTAATTAAAGATATTTCTTGTTTTTTGTCAAAGTCTTCATCTATAAAAGAAGTTGAGGCTCATAAATCTAATAATATAAAGACTTTATGATTTTTTGGTCCTGAATAGACATCTATTGTAAAATAAGGTGAGATTTGAAGAGAGAACAAGACCTTTATTAGATGTTGCATATGATTCGAGCTCCATAGTCTCTATTATAGTTGGAGAAACTTATTTTTCGACACATTGTCTTCTCTAACAATTATGTTCTTTATTTTGTGATTACTTAGATATTCTTATCTTGCATCAAAAAAAAGAAATGCAACTTTTGATCAACAATGAATGGTCTTTTGGAAGCTTGAGTAATTTCATCTTAAAGCAATAAAATCAACATTGACTATTGCTTTAACCTTTCTCAAGCAAATTCAATCAAGTATTTTCTCTAATTCTCTTGTTTATGATATCAAGAATACTTCTTCTAAGTCTCTTGATACTTGTAAGTTTGAATTTAAAAACAACCTACTGTATTTCAAAAGTTGCCTATATATTCTAAAAAAAAAGTATATTTATGTGTTCTTTAAGCTTGTCATGATTTTGCAACAGTAGGATATTTTGAATACAACAAGTCTTTAGAGCTTATATCTAAAAAGTTTTGGTGTTTTCAAATATAAAAGGTTGTAAAAGACTTTGTACACTCATGTGATATTTATTCAAGGTCAAAAACTCCTGATCATTGATCATATACACTTCTCCAACCATTGCATATATTAGAATAATTATGATCTTTTATTTTTATGGATTTTATTATGGATCTTTTAAGTTAAAATTTATATAATTCTATATTTAAGATTGTAGATTGTTTCACCAAAATGACATATTTTGTACCATATATAAAATCTATTTCAAATAAAAGAAACAGCGAAGCTTTTTTTTTTAACAATATCTATCGCTATCATAGATTAATAAAAAATATTATATCAAATAGATAGACACAATTTGTATGAAGATTTTGAAGAATTTTTTTTTAAGATATTAGAGGTAGATATAAAATTATATTTGACCTTTTATCTTCAAATTAATAGATAAATAAAACAAGTGAATTAAGTTATGAAGCAATATTTGAGGCATACCATCAACTATTATGAAGATGATTGAATAATTCTTTTGCCATTGATAAATTTTGAGTTTAATAATTTAGTACATTCTTTTACTTAAAAAATATCTTTTTTTTGCCAATTATAGTTATGATCCATAATTTGATACTTTTAACTTTTTAAAAGTTGATAATCTTATGTTACAAGATTTAGCAAATTATTTAGCAAAGTTACATGCAACAATAAATGTACAGTTAAAAAAAGCTAAAGAATGACAAAAGATCAAGAATAACAAAACTTATCACAAGGAACAACCATAATTCAATGTAGGTGACAAAGTATGGTTACTTTGTTGTAATATTAAGATTATTCATTCTTATGATAAGTTGGATTATTGTAGGCTTAGACTTTTTTTTATTTGCAAACAAATCAATCTAGTTACTTATTGATTACACGTACATGAATCAATCAAAATCTATTTAGTATTCTATATATCTCTGTTTGAGCCATACAAGATAATTGATATATCAAGAAGATAACAAGTATCATTTTATCCTATAGAAATAGACAATAATGAAAAGCATTAAGCTAAAGAAGTTTTAGACTGAAGGTAGCACAAAAATAGGTTATAATAGCTTATATTAACTACATCTATCTAAATTAAGATAAAAAATAATAAATCTTTGCTATAAAAAAATATAGTTCAAAAAAAGTTACATTTTATCTTCTATCTTTGTTTGTAGTTTATGTGTGGTTCTAAGGAAATGGAGAACCAATAATCAATAGATTTATCTCAAGAGCTATTATTTGCTGACTTATCACATATGACATTACAATTTTCACAGCCTTTAAGATGACATAATCAAAATGAAGATCTTCAAGAACAACAAGTTCTTCCTTGAATAAATGTCAAAATATAATGTATTTGGTATTATGACCTTGGAAGAGACTTCCAATGTTTGGTGATTTTATTGGAGGTAAGAATGATTCTTCATGGTATTACAAATATTTTGTTTGAAAGAAGTTACAAAGGCCTTATTGTGGAACTTGTCTCTAGAAGTGGAGATAATGTCATAGATGTACTTATAATTATCTAGATAATATGAATAGATAGAAGTAGGTAAAAGTAGGTTAATTTGATAATATCTTTTAGAAAAGCTTCTTAAAAGCTTCATAGATGCAATTTCACTTTTATACATGTTTATACTTGTTGGTCAAGTTTCTAGCCTAATAACTTATTAGTCACATATTACATATTTTAATGGCTTGTGGTACAAGCTAATAATGTGGCATATATATAAGAAACTTTTCTTGCAAGTTAAGACATGTGTCTCACAAATTAAATAGTACATATAGAAGCAAGAATGAAGCCTTCTTTACTCTTATTAATTATTTTTTAGCTTCCAATCTAATTTCAAGAGTCTCTAACTTCTTAGTCTTTGGCAATAGCCATTCGGATTTCTTATTAAATATATTTACTTTCTTATTTTTATTTGGTCATTTGTTTTTGATTTATTTCTCACTTGTTTATATATCTTCTTTGAATTTTTATCCTTGACACCAACCAAAACAAGAGTTGGAAGAAAAACTAAGGTTTCAACTTAGATGAATAAATATTTTGTAAGTCTTATGGAAGTATTACATTTGGAATCAACAAACTATCATGAAGTAGCTCAACATCCAAAATAGAAATAAGATATGATGGACAAAATAGATTCTATCTACAAAAATAATACATGGCTTCTAATAGATCTTTCTTTTAGAAAATCAATGATTTCTATCAAATGGGTCTATAAGAAAAAATTAAATACAAATGGTTCTCTATAAAAAATATTAAGCTAGACTTATTGCACAAATTTTTGAAAAAAAGACAAGAATTGATTATATAGAGACTTTTATACATGTAGTCAAATAGACTACAATCAAAGCCATAATATCTATAATAGCTTAAAAAATTAGAAATTATATCATATGGATATTCAAACCGCATTTTTATATGGAGATTTAAAATAAGAGATGTACATTATCTAAACTCAAGGATTCACCATATTAAAAAAAAAATAAAAAATGATATGCATATTATAAAAAGCTTTATATAGACTCAGACAAGCATTTAGAGCTTGATATGAGAAAATCGATTTTTATTTAAAAGAAATTGATTTTCAATAAAATAATGGTAATCACAATCTATATGTTAGAAAAATAAATGATCATATAATTTTTATTACACTATATGTTGATGATCTTCTAATGATAAAAAGTTGCTTCAAAATTATAAAAAAATTCAAAGTTTCTCTATATAAAAAATTTGAGATGTCAAATATCTTTGAAAGTGAAGTTACTTTCTATCTAAAGACAAAATGCATGCAAGTTAGAAAAGGCATTTTTATGACTCAAAAAGCATATGCTCAAAATATTTTAACCACATTTAGTATGAAAAATTATATATATACAACCACTCCTATAGACAAAATATTAAAACTTAAAGCAAATATGGAAGAAGATGAAGTAGATCCAACACTATATAGGAGCATAGTTGAGAAATGCCTTCACTTGACTCATATTCGCCTCAATATTTAGTTTTCTACTAGGGTTATTAATTGATTTATGGCTAGGCCTCAACAGTCGTATTTTCTTGTAGCCAAAAGAATTTTACAATTCATTAAACATATACAAGACTATAGTATACTATATCAATCCAATAATACATCAAATCTCTTTGACTATGTAGATTTTGATTGGATCAAAGACATGAAACATGCAAGTTTTATTTTTAGTATTGATACAACATTTATTTTTTGGTCAATCAGGAAATAGCTAATTGTTGCTCTTTCTTCCTTAAAAGAAAAATACAGACCGCTAGTAGATGCCTCTAGAGAGGCTACTTTACTAACGATACTGCTTCAAGATCTAAAATTAGAAATACAACATCCCACAACCATCCTTTGTGACAATGCTGGCAGTATACACATAGCCATGAATCCAGGGATGAATCCTAGAACATGACACATTGTGGCACACTATCATTTCACCAAAGAAAAAATATAGTCAGGTGAAATTATGCTTCAATATGTACCCACTTTAGAACAAGTGGCGGATATTTTTACAAAACCCCTAGGGAGGTCCTTATTTGATAAATTTCGGGAAAAATTCAATCTTATTATTATTATTATTATTATTTAGCTCACTTAGTACTATACGGTGTTAAATAAAACTAAAAAATAAAAACAACTAGCTTGATATATACTCTTCAGCCTTAATTCTGCTCCGAAAGGACCTATATTGTGCCCCTTGAAACCTTTTAACTTTCGCCTCACATTCAGCACATGAAGCATACACTCCTAGACGCCGGTCAATACGGATCGCACAGCATTTATCACGATCATGCAAAGTAGACGTGACAGGTAATCCGCTGGAGCTGGAAATCTTGCATAAGGAACTCTTCGGAAGAATCGAACATGCAGTATCATCAACAGGAACAGAGGAAGTGTCGTGGGCGACGTTGTTCACCTCTCAAACTGGAAGGATTTTGCCGAAAAGCAAGGATTCTTCTTTCTAATTGAGTCGACAACCAGTCACATATGGTTGCGAGGAACTTTAATAGTGCCCACACAACCATACAGAAAGCCCGACACTGAAAATCACAAAACAAAACAGAAAACCTCAATCCTCGAGATCAATCAGAAGGAAGACAGAGTAAATCGAGAAAATAAATAAGAAGAAAGTGCGTACCGGAGAATCAGGGGTGTATTCCACATTCTGCATCATCAGACACAAACACAAGTCCGCCATAAATAGAATCACAGTGCAATATCAATACCCTTGAGAAATTTTAGGAAATCTCGCAAAGTTGAATCTAGAATATAGACTAAGGGTCTCTGGGGTGAGGGGGAGTGTTGAACGATACACCCCGAGACCTAGACTAAGTAAAACCCGTAAGCCATTAGTTCCTCGAGGGTATCAAGACCAACCGGGTCTCAGGCAGATACAGGGGGCTATCATCTGTATAAATTAATCTTTGTTTACTAAGTAAAGTGTGTCTTGTAGTAGTCACCTGTTTCCATGTGCTTACGTTTATTCATGTGCTCGTGCTTTATCAAGGTTCCTTGTTCATGGGAGTACTATCTGATTTTGTTCACTCTTACTCTGTTCATAGCGTAGCTAAGCAGATAAGCGGGTAAACTGGCGTCATTAGTTAATAGCGTCGACCTGGTTGCCGGACCTAGATCTCCATCCTGCTATTGATATCGTGTTGGTACAGGCGATGCGGCTGGAGGCTTCCTACGCACGATTTGTTGGGTGGAAGGTGGTCACGGTTGCTTCAGGTAGTAGAGATTCTTCAGGTGGAAGAGCTGTAAAGTTGCCCAATTCGATTGGCTACGATGTCAAGCTTTCGCACCTCAAAATACTTAAGGTAGTCAAAGCTATGAAGTTACCTGATTCATTTGACAAAGATATTATGCTTTTGCACTTACTTATTTGTAAAGTTATTAAAGCTATAAGCTAGACTAATTTAATAGGCAATGATATCAAGTTTGACTACTCACTTATTCTTAAGATAGTTGGAGAGATGAGGTTAGCCAATTCATTTGGTAATAATATCAAATTTTTGCATTCATTTATATGAAGAATAATTAAAGATGAATGGTTGTAAAATTCATTTAGCATTGATGTCAAACTTAAGAACCTTCTTTTTAAGGTAGTTAAAGAATTAATGATGTCCAAATCTTTTGGCAATGACATTAGGCTTTTGCACTCACTTCTAATAAAGGGAGTTGAAAATGCAGAGTTCTCAACTTTATTTTGTAATAATATCAAGCTTGAACACCCACTTATATCAAAGGTAGTTAAATATGTGAATTTGCCTAATTTATTTGGCAATGATGTCAATCTTGAGCAACTTCTCATACTTAAGATAGTCAAAGATGTGAGATTGCCTAATTCATTTGGCAATGATGTCAAGCTTGAGTACCCATCTATATTCAAGGTAGTCAAAGATGTGAAGTTATAAAATTTACTTGGCATTAATGTTAATCTTAAATAATTATTTATATAAAAGGTAGTCAAAGATGTAAAGATGTTCAATTCAATTAACAATGATGTTAAGCTTGAGCACCACCACATATGCAAGGTAGTCAAAGATATGAAGTCACATAATTTATTTGGCAATGATGTCAATCTTGAGCAGTTTTTCATATTTAAGGTAGTCAAAGATGTGAGGTCATCTAATTCATTTGACAATGATATCAAGTTTGAGTACCTACTTATATTGAAAGTAGTCAAAGATGTAAGGTTGCCCAATTCATTTGGTAATGATGTCAATCTTGAGTAGCTTCTCATATTTAAGGTAGTCAAAAATGTAAGGTTACCCAATTCATTTAATAATGATGTCAAGTTTGAGCACCTACTTATATCAAAAGTAGTAAAAGACTTAAGGTTGCCCAATTCATTTGGCAAAAGTGTCAAGTTTGAGCACCCATTTATATCAAAGGTAGTCAAAGATATGAGGATTCTCAATTAATTTGACAATGATGTCAAGTTTGAGCAACCACTTATATCAACAATAGTCAAAGATGAGAGGTTTCTCATTTCATTTGGCAATGATGTCAATCTTGAGTAATTTTTCATATTTAAGGTAGTCAAAGATATAAGATTGTCTAATTCATTTGGCAATGATAATATTCTTAGGTAAATTTTATATTTAACGTAGTCAAAGATGTGAGGTTTCCAATTCATTTCACAATGATACCAAGCTTGAGCACTTACTTTTATTTAAGGTAGTCAAAGATTTGAGATTACCTAATTCATTTGGCAATGATATCAAGCTTGAGCATCCACTTATATTCAAGGTAGTCAAAGATGTGAGATTGCCTAATTCTTTTGGCAATAATGTCAAGCTTGAGCATTCACATATATCCAAGGTAGTTAAAGATATAAGGTTGCCTATTTCATTTGACAATGATATCAATCTTAAGCGATTTTCCATATTTAAGATAGTCAAAGATGTGAGGTTGCCCAATTCTTTTGACAATGATGTCAAACTTGAGCTCTCACATATATCCAAGATAGTCAAAGATGTGAGGTTGTCCAATTTTTTTGGCAATGATACCAAGCTTGAGCATTTACTTAAATTCAAGGTAGTCAAAGATGAGAGGTCACTCAATTCATTTGGCAATGATGTCAATTTCGAGCAGTTTCCCATATTCAAGGTAGTCAAAGATGTGAGGTTGCCCAATTCATTTGACAATGATGTCAAGTTTGAGCATCCACTTATATCGAAGGTAATCAAAGATGTAAGGTTGCCCAATTCATTTGGAATTGATGTCAAGTTTGAGCACACACTTATATCAAAGGTAGTTAAAGATGTGAGGTTGCTCAATTCATTTGGCAATGATGTCAAGTTTAAGCATCCACTTATATCAAAAGTAGTCAAAGATATGAGATTTTCTAATTCTTTTGGCAATGATGTCAAGCTTGAGCACTCACATATATCTAAAGTAGTCAAAGATGTGAGATTGCCAAATTCTTTTGGCAATGATACCAAGCTTGAACATTTACTTATATTCAAGGTAGTCAAAGATGTGAGATCACCTAATTCATTTGGCAATGATGTCAATTTTGAGCAGTTTCCCATATTCAAGGTAGTCAAAGATGTGAGGTTACCCAATTCATTTGGCAATGATGTCAAGTTTGAGCATCCACTTATATCGAAGGTAATCAAAGATGTAAGGTTGCCCAATTCATTTGGAATTGATGTCAAGTTTGAGAACACACTTATATCAAAGGTAGTTAAAGATGTGAGGTTGCTCAATTCATTTGGCAGTGATATCAAGTTTAAGCATCCACTTATATCAAAGGTAGTCAAAGATATGAAATTGCCTAATTCTTTTGGCAATGATATCAAGCTTGAGCACTCACATATATCCAAGGTAGTCAAAGTTGTGAAGTTGCCTAATTCTTTTGGCAATGATGTCAAGCTTGAGTACTCACATATATCCAAGGTAGTCAAAGATGAGAGGTTGCCCAATTCATTTGGCAATAATACCAAGCTTGAGCACTTATTAATATTCAAGGTAGTCAAAGATATGAAGTTGCCCAATTCATTTGACAATGATATCAACTTTGAGCACCCGCTTATATCAAAGGTAGTCAAAGATGTGAGGTTTCTCAATTTATTTGGCAATGATGTTAAGCTTGAACACCACCACATATACAAGGTAGTCAAAGATTTGAGGTCATCCAATTCATTAGGCAATGATGTCATGCTTGAGTACCCTCCTATAATCAAGATAGTCAAGGATATAAGGTTGTCCAATTCATTTGGCAATAATGTCAATCTTGAGCACCAACTTATATTTAAGATAGTCAAAGATATGAGATTGCACAATTCATTTGGCAATGATGTCAAGTTTGAGCACCTACTTATATCCAAGGTAGTTAAAGATGTGAGATTGCCCAATTCTTTTGGCAATGATATCAAACTTGAGCAATTTCTTATATTTAAGATAGTCAAAGATGAGAGATTGTACAATTCATTTGGTAATGATGTCAACTTTGAGCATCCACTTATATCCAAGATAGTCAAAGATGTGAGGTTCCCCAATTCATTTGGCAATGATGTTAAGCTTGAGCACCCTCTTATATTAAGTTTTCTCAAGGCAAGAAGATTTTTAATTGATGTTGGTAATAATCTTAATCTACTACATTCTTTTAAATTAAGTATCTTCAAAGAAGTCATATACTCTATTTTATTTGGTAGCATGATTAAATTAAAGCATCCTTCTAAGTCAAGTTTCAATAATGTAACAATTCTAAAGAATGAATTTGGAAATTTCTCTATAAAAGAACAATTTTTCAATTGCAAGACATTTAAACTCTCAAACTTTTTCCAAACATCTTTGTCATGTAGCATTTGCAATGCTTTCTTTGCTAGTTCTTCTTTTTAAGTCGTATCCCTCTAACATATCTAATAGAAAGTATTTTAATCTAAGAGAATGTTTTACCATCATAAAAAATATACTTAGTATTCTTATGACAATTTTAGGAGCAAAAATACCAACATTACAACTTAAAACTTGAAGTGATGAAAAAAAAATATTCCTTATTTCACTAATAGTATTGTTGTATATGTTGTTGCAAAAAATTCCCTCCAATTGTAAACCAATATAATAAAATTAGAATTTTTACATGAATAATATTTTTAATAAACATGCAAATCTAAATACAATATAAGATTAATTATCTTACATAATAACTTTACGTCAATATCCATCTAAAAAATAAAATAAACATTACATTATATATATAACAAAATAAAAAAAATATCTTTAAATGCTAATTTTTTTTTATCATTATTAATTTTCCACATCCCATTTACATATTAGTGAAGTAAATTTATCTTGTTTGATAATCCATGAAATGGATTTACATTCAAGTTCCACATTCTTGTATATTTATACTCCATTTCTTGTTCTACAATGTGTCTACCCATATCTCATAATTGATCATGTACTCTTATAATTCCATCTTTGTCTATTTTGACCAATGATTGATAAATTAATGTATCCAATATAAATTTGACATCTTATTCAAATATGTTTTTTTCACTTTTGGTCCATACTCGCAATGCTCTTTCTTTTGACATGCCTCGTGGACATGCATCACTACAAAAGAAACAACATATGTCCAAAAACATATTCTTCTCTTCAACTTTCAAATTGTCAAAGTTTACTCTCAATATGTTCCAAATTTTGTAGTTACTATTCTTTTCATCTCCATACAACTCTCTTCCCTTTTTAACTTTTGTAAAGCTCACTCCCAATACCTTAATCTCTTGTTCTCTCTCAAAAATGCTCACATAACTTTTAGACTCAATGGTAGGCCATTGCAAGCTCTTACAATTTTTTTGCCAACCTCAACAAGTTCATTAGGTAGATTTTCTTAGCCACAAGAATGAGTGACAAATAACTTCATGCTTGTTTCTTCATCAAGTTCTTCAATATTTATTTTACAAACTTCTTCACCTCCATTCTTTGTTACTTCTAAATCTCGAGTTGTTGTAATCAATGTGCTACCATTGCTAGCAAATATGACATCGATAGGCACAACATCTTCAATTTGACTTTGATTCTTCACATTGTCAAAGACCAAGATGGTTTTGTTCTCCATGAAGAATGATTTCAACATTGCTTGAGCTTCTTTTATATCCTTTGGTTTTGATTTCACTTTAAGTTGTCCTAAAATATTGCAAGAAGTTGTATAACTATCGCTACCACTTTCAATACACTCAATAAAGCATGAGGCATTGTATATGTCTTTTATACTAGTTAATATAGCCTTTGCTATTGTGGTCTTGCCTATTCCACCCACTCCAACAAGATACAATATCTTCACTTTATTTTCACATTCTTGTCTTATTTGTGATAAATATTGTGTTCTACTAAATATTTCTTCTTTACATAAATCAACCTACAATTAGAAAATTCACCCATAAATTAAAAACAAAATTAAAATATTATATATACTACATTTGAAACCTAGTCTTACTAACTTGAGCTCATAGTAAGGCATCTATACATCATTATGGCATAGAAGAGTGTATATAAGTTTATAATACAATTAATTCAATATATTCTCTCTATGATTTATAATATAAGTCTTACCAATGGCACTTCTTTATGTATTTGCTGCAATTCTAAATTTTGATAACAAATATTTTTTGATGCTCTAAAATATGGAGCATTTTCTACACCAATTCCAATCAAATAATTTTTTTTGTAGTAACTCCAATCTTTCACAAATATTTGCAAAATTTGGCCGATGCAAAGGATTCAACCTCCAACATTCTTGGATTAGCTCATTTAAGTCATCACAATTTGAAGGTAACTTTGGTCTTTCACCTTTTTCAATTCTTTCTAATATTCTTTTTATGTCATGAACATCATTAAATGGATCTTCTTTTGAGAGAATCTTAGAACATATCATTGCAAATGAATAAACATCAGCTTCAAAAGGACACATTATCATTGTTTGAAATTTATTTTTTAATGCCTCTGGAGCCATATATCCAAGACTACCATAAATGTAATTATTCTCTATAGCTTTTGGATTTCTTCCAACTTCAATCTTGGATACTCCAAAGTCAATCACTTTCACAATAGCATGTCGATCAATCTTATTCATAATCTTTGATTCTACCATATTAACCAAAATATTCTCAGGCTTTAAACCTCGATGTGCAATATGCATGTCATGTAAGTAACACATCCCTTTTGCAATTTGATGCATAACATCAATAAGAAAAGTATATGATACATCATTTTCTTCTTTCAACATATTGCTCAAATTTTTTTGCAACAATTCCATTCCAATATATAAATACTCTTTTTTATCTTCTCTTACAAAAGATTCTATACTTCCATTGGCATTTCCTTTCATTGCAAAATAATATGTTATCAAGTTAGGATGGCTCAAACTTGCTAGAATGCTCATTTCTTTAATGAATATCTTATCAAATCCAACATCCATCTTTTTAGTTGCACATAAAAGTCCCAACCACTTTGACTTATAAACTTTACCATAACTTCCTTTACTTATGCATTTTATGATTTCAAGACTCTTCATATCTGACAATAGTTTTAAATCACTCAACTTTCCACCTATGCAATACAAGTCTTCCAACCTTTGTAGTAGATGCTTTGCTATTTCAAAGTATTCAAATTCTTCTTCATTTACATAGATCAACTTCTTTTGTAGAAATTCAACATCCTCTTCCACTTCATCATGTGATGTAAAATTAAAAGTTGCAAAGGTATTCTTTTCAACTTTTTTGGGATAATGCTTCAAAACCTCATCAATTGCTATATCACAACAACATTTTAATTCCAAAAGTAGTTTTCTAAAAGTCTCCTAGTTATTCAATTGGAAGATAGCTTCTTTACCCCAATTTTTGTTTCCACAATTTTCTACAAGACAATAAGATTTATTTAGTATAAAAAATAACTCACTTAATAAAGGTCCAAACTGTAATCCATCATTGGTGCAAGTCATTAGCTGGTCAAAAATCTTTGTAACATGTTCAATTTTCTTGTACAAATTAATACATTGGTTTCTATTCAACAAGTTGCTTTTCTTAAATAAAACCTCAAATGCTCCAATATAGAATTCAGATCCTTCCCAAATATCTCCACAAATACCTTGCATATTTGATATTTTGTCATGTTGTTCCTTAGTGCTTGAAGATCTTGATATGACAAAACTATATAAATAGCTCCACACCATGAATACATATCGCTTGAATAATTCCAAAAGATACTCCATAATGGATTATAAAAATAGCTTCCAATTTCACCTTCTCACCACCACCTATAAAAAATTACATGTTAGATTTGTATCAGATTTGTTTGTTATTTCAAAAATATTTTTTATAACCTCACTTGTACCGACAACTTTTATACCAATATTACTCATCTTAAATCATTATCCAAAAACATTAAATGACTTCTACTGACGACCACAATGTCGAGAGATCACAATGTCGAGAGATCACAGGCGACCCCACCACCACCCACATTTGCATAATGGGGTTCAAAGTCTCCCCAAAGAGATTCTTCATTGCTCACAAAACAGTCAGAAAAAGAGTACCACTGTAGAGGTTTTTACTACTCAAACATGGAGAAGCACAACCAAGTTCTCGGACATGGAGGTAATTGCAACAGGCTGTGATTGTGAGTTTACTGGACTTTACTTCCTATTCGAGATAGGATCAAAAAACCTAAAACCATCAATCAAATCATCAGAAGCGACAAAACTCATAGCAACTCAAAATTTACACATGACAGATACTCCACTTAACGCCAGTGTTTGAATTTCTAATCTAACGAGCAAAGTTTCTGGTAAGCAGTTCATGATTTGTAAGGGCAATAAGTACTAAGATGAAGACAGATGGGGACAAAATTATAAACTGAGATCACAGCTTTGTAGGCTGAGGAGATTTGGAATTTTTTGGGGTGGGGCCACTCGAAGCCTCCCAGAATTAGGAGAAACTCTCATTTCATGCTCAACATTTTGAGTGTATCAGCACTTGGACAAACAGATACCTCAATATACCTCAAGCACAAAAAGAAGAAATGAAAAGAAAAGATCACACTTCAGACGTCAGAAAACGGATGAATTGCTTGTGAAGATGGAGGCACACTACCAATATCCTCACAAGATTAACGTTTTACATGTAATATCACACTTCAATGAGCTCCAAAAGAATACCCCATTTATGGTGCTTCTAGGAAAGAGAGTAAGCAGTATAACTAGTGGGCCGCTAGCCTCTAAGCCTTGCACAATTCGTTCCTTCATCCTAACCATACGCCAAAATGTAAGCGAGCTTTTTTCACGATTTAAAATATCAGCAAAATCTGCATTAATGACTACATTTGGTTGCCACATCGATGCGTAAAATGCGGCCACGCAACCGGGGAAATCAAGACATTTCGACAAAATTCATGCAGACGCGAATTCAAATGACTTGACAGAAAGAATAGGATAAACAGCTGCCTTTACTATACACACGCTGAACCAAAGCCTGCAAAACTTGCACGGTCGAACTCAACGGAGAAGTGGTTGATAAACCAGAAACTCGACAACACATTTTCCTTTTTTCACAGAGCCTTCAATTTCGATTCGATTCTTCCTTCCCTTGATGTCACTAACAGACAAGAGCTCTAATGTTGTCCACGGAAACACCAACCAAAAATAAATTGAGGGTCCCTGGTGATCTTCTCTTGAATCTTCTGATTATCCCCAGGAGACCTGGGCGCTGCTGAGAACACTCCGTGAACTCTACCTCCAACTCAACAGGGACCCTATTCCAACACACCAATCCCGCAACCTCGAGTTCTAAATCTCTGATCCCTTCCTACTTCCTGAGACAGAACGGTAA